AAATTAAATAAAAATAAGATTTAAAAATTAAGAATAAAAAAAAAAGGTGGCGGGCTGGCCCGCCAACCCGCTATGGCGGGTTAGGGTTGGGACTTTTCCAGCCTGCCAAAATGCGGGCTGCTCCAACCTGCACTGCATAACCCGCGGGTTGTGCGCAGGCTGACCCGCAACCCGCGGTTGGCCCGTATTCCAGCTATACTTGTTTCTTTGTAACACCGAGTCTATTTAGAATAGTTTATAAATAATTTTTTAATTATAATTTACAAAATACGAGATCAGTATGTGATAAAAATTTTATCTCAATTTATGTAAAACGTGCTTACAAGTATTTTCAAACACCTTCACAAACAAGCCCACCATCTCCCAATGTAGCCACTAAATATTAAATATAGTTTGTAGTGTAATTATAGTTTGTAGTACAAATTATATTATAAATTAGATATTATACTTAGAATCCGAGGTAATATAAAGAATTAAATCAATAATTAATGAATATTAAAAAAATTAAAATAGTTATCTACAACAAATGTGTATCGGGTCTCTTAGAATACCATTTTTAATAATGTGTACTGTAATTATCCTTCATGCAACAATCAATAAAAATAGTTTGAGAAAAAATTATAAATTTGAGAAACAAAGTAAATTAATATCTTATATTTATTTTACTTATTTTCAATATAATCATATTATAATTTTTTATGATTATGCTGTCTATAATTTATAAGTTATTTTAATGGGTTATATGATGTTTTTTAGAAAATATTTTGAGTTTATATATCTTTTGTCTTTCAAAAAGAAACATTTAACTTTATTAATTTTTTATTACTGTCAAATTTTACTCAATTTTTTTCTATTTTTAGGATAATTTTTACTAAGTGTTTAGGCTCTAAATAAACGCAGTGTTGAAATAAAAATTCAAAACAAATTAAAATAATAAATGGGATGCTTCTATTTTGTCTCAAATGGGATAGGACGAAAAGGTCATCCCATCTAGGAATGAGCAAAACCAAACCGAAACTGATAACCAAATAACCGAATATATTTTCAATTTTTTGGTTAGGTTATTTTAGTGTTTGGTTTCGATTCGGTTTTTATTTTTATTAAATTTCGGTGTTCGGTTTATAAGAAAAAATTTAGTTTAAAACCGAAAAACCAAAATATGTGTGTGTATACATTTTTTTTGCTAAGGTATATAATATTATATATAATATGAAACTAAGTTAGCCATCAACTAATAGGCCCAAAGTATGCTTCTAACCCAACCAAATATATCTCAAACCCTAAGCTAATGTAAGATAGCTCATCATCCCTCATTCTCTCTCGTCACAGCCTCCTCCCGGTGTCCTCTCAATTTCAAAACAATACCATCATCTTCTTGCTCATTGATCTCAAGTAGAGTGCCATTTGCCTCACACTCTCGTACTATTCATTATTGTCACAGTAGCGCCTCCTCTCTCTCTCTTCAAAAACAATATACTGATGCTTTTGCTCTTATTCTTGTAGTGTCTCTACTTGCTGCTTCGTCTCCACTTTTCTTCTCCATTTCATCTTCATATTGACACTCCTGGTTCTTCTCTACAATCTCTACTACTGTGGTGTGCTTACCACTTTATCTCCCTCAAACTTGGGATTTTATGCCAGGTTTAAACACGAAAAAAAGTTAGTAGCATTAATCGAATAAACCAACCGACTGAACCAAAATATTTTGGTTAGGTTTCTATTCGATTAGTGATAGAAGTTCGGTTCGGTGCTTAAAAATGTTCTAATTTCATGATCGGTTATTTCGATTCTAAACCAAAATCAAACCGAATAACCATTTGCATAGTCCTATCCCATCTCTATTATCAAGACATGATTAGGATACGATTGTCTCGTCCCATAAACAACATTTATTTATGTTATTGGGAATTAACTTATATAACACATAAGATCATATTTCATTTTCTAAAGATATAGGGTTTTTCTATCACACATCTAATCATTCTCATTCTCACCAATCATCCAAGTAGAGCTCGTAATATGGGTTAAGCTTGTGGGCTTAACTTGTCAACTCGTCAAGAACTAGTAGGTGAATTGATAAAAATTGAGACTATTTTAAAAAATTTTTTTAAGTCCGTGATCGTCAAAACTGAACTCACAGTGGGCTAACTCTTAGAGTTGGTGAGCTAACCCATTTTATTTATTTATTTATTTTTGTAATTTTTGCCATCTCTTCAATCTTCAAAACGCATCGTCTCCCCTCTCATTTTTTGTTGGTGGGAATGGTTTCTGAAGAATATAAGAAAAAGAGATAAAAAAGAAAGTAGTGCATGATGTCTTCAAAATATTGACAGTACTTTCTTTTAAGCTTATTCACCCCACCTACTCCTATCTTATAGGATGCAAAGTTGGAATACTCGGTGAATTTCTTTCAAAATACAATGAAGATTCTTGAATATGGATTGTACTTTCAAGATTCAAACAAAGATAACAATGGCCTTTACAAAGTGATAATTTGACTCTATCTCTGCATGCACTCAAAGACAAAGGCAGTGAGTTTGATTATGGTGTATGTGTTGTATTTATCCAAATGAATGGTGGTGAGGGGTTTATATAGACTATGGAATGATGCCTTGAAGAAATACCTTTATAATACCTTATTAAATAAAAAGTCACAACCATATATTGGTTTGTGAACCAAGATAATTTAAATAAATACAATGTATTTAATATGTAGAGTCTTTTAGTATTGTAATTCCTACATAACCCTTCATATAAATATATTAATTTATATGAAGACATAACCCCTCATAAAAATATATTAATTTATATCAGAATACAACCCTTCAAATAAATTTATTAATTTATATGAAGACATAACCCCTCATATAAATTTATTAATTTAAAAGATTTATATAAGGACATACTTTTCAAAAACACATCTTTCATTTTAAAATATTCCAACAATCCCCCACCATTTTTAAAATATCCAAACTCTTATCACTTTGAAATTCTCATGTTTCAACAAGAGTATCTCAAGGATTTAAACCTTTACTTAGCAAGACATGGTTCACCCATTCGAAATAATCTGTTAGACTAAGTTTTGACAAACCATTATCCCGTATGAACAAGTATGCATGACTCACGCTGAAATCTCAAACCACTGTATGCCACTTAAAATGACACGTTTATGGCCTCGTGTCTGTATCCTTTTCATGAAAAGTTTTTAGAGTCAAGTCCTTAGATTCCTAGAAGCGGCCCCACTTCACTCTCATATAGGTAGACTTTGTCAAGAGCACTACCATGATTAATGTTCCAGCAAATATATGCTTACAGGTCCATTAAGAGCCATATTATTTAAATCTTATGGTTACCAAGTACTTTTCAGCCTTAGGATGTATAAATATGTCAAGTACTTGCAATCACTCTAATATCATACTTTCACCATTAAACTCAAGACTTGATATGATGATCAAGTATAAGTTGGTTTCCACTATCGGTGATCAAGGTTTATAGGGCTTCAATCCCATTCCCTTTAATGTCTTCAACATCATTTCTCTGCTAAACATTTTGTCAAAGAATCTTCAGAAAACTATTCCCGTCAACATTTTTCAGGCTTGCAAATTGCAACATTTCCTCTTAGGAATTCGTTTGGTACGAGAGAAAAAAAAAAGATTAATTTATCTCTTTCATTTTATATTTTTTATTAAAATTTTATAATCTTTTTTTTCTTTTTTTTTCCTTTTTTTTTAAAAAATTTTCACACATTTTTTCTTCTTACCAAACTTGCGCCTTTCCGAACCCAACCCTAACCCTTCACTTTCATCTAGAGCTGGTAATACTGGGCCCGCGGGCCCAGGCCAGCCAACCCGCCAAAAATGGCGGGCTCGGGTGGCAAAATGCCAGCCTGCCAAGTGGGGCTACTCCACGCACCGTTTTCAACCCGCTCCGCCGCGGGCTAGCTGCCAGTTGGGGGCTAGCCGCTTTTTTTAAATCTAATTTTTATATAATTTCAATATGTTATACAACATAATTGGAGGATTTTAACCTCAAATTTCATATTTACATCTTCTATCAAGTTTCATATGTAATACAACATAAAAGATCTACTTAATTAATTGGATAAGAAAAATAGTCAAATTAATTATTTAGAAAAAATATGTGTTAGTTTTTCTAAAATATCTTCTCAAATTATAAATTAATCCTCACATTATTTTATTATAACTCATTACTTAAGTTTAAAACCCAAATCCAATTGTTACAAACTAAGTCCTATACAAGTAATAATTTTTTTTAAAAAAAAAAGTTAGGCGGGCCGGCGGGCTAGCCGCCAGCCGCCAAAGTGCGGGCTACTTCAGCCCGCACCGCTTAGCCGCATGGGCTGGCCCGTATCCGCACCGTCGCCCGCATTCCCAGCTCTACTTTCATCTTCCACAACCCGAGGCCAGAGCTCACTGCCTCATATCATCATTGGCGTTTAGCGTCGCCCCTACCTACCTCCTCTCATCGGCTGAACGCCAGCAAGTCGCGAGTCGCACCAGGGGACCTTTTCAGTGAAGAAGAAGAAACGGGCTGGACCGGCGGGCTTGGTTATCTGAGCTCGTATTCGGCCCCCAATCCGTTTTAAGGACTGAATTTCAATCGCAAATTAACAATTTAATCGGCCCAGCAAACCAATAGCCTTTTTATTCTCAGATATAATCATGTAATAAAAAAAAAACAGTCCAAGTTTTGATCAAGTGGCGGCCGACCCGCCAAACCGACAATAACGACTTGGTATAACTAAGCCCAGCTCCTAACCTTTCCTAACTCCTCTTCCGCCTCGCATCCCCGTCTTTCCTGCATCGTAAGTTCGTCTCTCTTAGCTTTATTTTCTGTATTTTCCTTCTTATTTATTTCTTCATATTTCTGAACTCTTATCGAGGGTAGAAGCCGCCGTTATCCAATCGTGTTGAGTTTATGGCTCCATGATGTGAATTCCTTATGTCGATTCTTTACGGATTGTAAAATTATGGGTTAGACGAGTTTCTGATTCTAGACTGCGTCAGCGACTGCCAAGCTCTTGTTACCTAATGTTTTTCAGATATTTTTCCTTGTTTGGGAAGATTCCTTGCCCTCCATTTTTGTGTCTTTTTTCCTTCTCAAATAATATTTTTGCTATCAAAAAATGCTTTTGGATTATTTCAATTTATGTCCAAGACTCGTTTATCTGGGCATGCATGATGAACGATAAGACAGGACGAAAAAGATAATAGACCTTTTTAGTTTAGTTTGTTTGCTTGCTGTGTCATTTATACATATGGTTGGGTTTAAAGGTATCTATGTTTCTTTCCAAATCTTTTAGGTATTTATAATTTATCTAGTATCATGCAGTGGGTATATGCTTATATAAGCTTGGAAATCTGATTCTAATCCTCCAAAAACTTATATGTGTATTTGCTTTTTTTTTTTTTAACCTTTCATTAATATCAGAGATAAGAAGATCGTGGGATAAGGGGGAACTGGGGAAGTAGAAGAGCGGGCTTGTGCATATTATTTTCATTTGTATTGATTAGTAAATGAAAGGTTCAAATTATGAGTTATTTTATTGAAAAACAGTGAGTTGTTACGTTATAATAAATCGAAAATCAAATATGCTTAGAGCTTCAAGTATTAAGGCAATAAGAGTCGGGGATGAATGTAATGTACCCGTACTTTAAACACGAAATTTAGAGCACTTGCAGATGTATTTAACTAATCAAATCATGTTCAATTGAAGCAATTGACATATTTGATCTTATGATGATCATGTGAGGCTCGACATATGTGGTCTTGCAAATTAATCGAGTAGCTTTGTGTTGCTTTTTGCCTTATTTCGCTATTTGACAATTCTAGATGAAAAAGTTTCTTTGACTGACTGCTGTTGGGAGAGTGCATCTGGTTAACGTATTGTATAATTTATACCCAATTTTTTCCTCTTTCTTTCATCCAGCTAACACTGGGGAAATCTGATTTTTGAGTATATAATATTAGAAATAGCTTTTTGGTCGGTCATTAGTGATGCTAGTCAATTTTTGTCTGTTAGAATGAAAAATGCTTTTGGCATGGTATGTCTTTTTTTTTTTGGTTACTTTTCTCCCCATATTTTAATTTTTTTTCATACTATGAATTTTCTAAACTGTTGTTCTCCATCTATTTCGCATGTGCATACTCATGTATTTTCCTTCCTCCCCTCTTTTGAGCAGGACAACTTTTGATATCATCGACTTCTTGCACTACCATGTTACAACCATCAGGCATGGCAGAAGATGCTGGTATGTTCATGGTTCATCAGACCATTGGTAGTGTTTTGTGTTGCAAATGTGGAATTCCCATGCAGCCAAATGCTGCCAATATGTGTGTGAAGTGTTTACGTTCAGAAGTTGATATCACTGAAGGATTACTGAAGCATCTAATCCTAGTACACTGTCCTGAGTGTGATAGCTACCTGCAGCCTCCAAGAACTTGGATCAAAGCACAATTAGAATCGAAGGAGCTGCTGACATTCTGTTTGAATAAGCTGAAAAGAAACTTCGCTTCCAATAAAGTAAGGCTGATACATGCTGAATTTATATGGACTGAGCCCCACTCCAAGAGGATAAAAGTCAAGGTCAAAGTTCAGAAAGAGGTTCTGAATGGGGCAATTCTTGAACAGTCTTATCCTATTGAGTACGTGCAGCAAGAGCATATGTGTGAATCTTGTTCTAGGATCCAGGCTAACCCTGATCAATGGGTTGCTGCTGTGCAACTTCGCCAACATGTTACACATAGGAGAACTTTCTTTATTTGGAACAGCTGATTCTGAAGCATGGTGCAGCTGCTAGTGCTATAAGAATAAAGCAGATGGATCAAGGTATTGACTTCTTTTTCTCCAATCGAAGTCATGGTGTGAAATTTGTGGAATTTGTAGGAAAAGTTGCTCCAGTAAGGAGTCGTCACGACAAGCAACTTGTTTCTCATGATCCCAAGAGTAATAACTACAACTATAAATATACATTTTCTGTTTGAAATTTCTCCCATCTGCCGTGAGGATTTAATCTGTCTGCCTCCTAAAGTTGCTGTTAGTTTGGGAAACCTTGGCCCT